CGCTGTTGAGCAGGAAGTCGCTAAGACGGTTACAAACAGGTCACAGCTCAGGATCTGACCACGCGCCCCTCCTGGCAGGCTGCCCCCGTCCAAAATGTGTTCCTCCCTCAGTAAGCAGGTGCACCTCCCAAGACTATCATGTGTGGGGCAGGAAAGATAAGGCACAGATGTAGGCTGTCCTGGTAGTTCCTTTATTAAGCCAACAAATGCCATGGAAGAGGGTAGGAGGGACTGAATTTCAGTGTTCCACCTTCAAAATACATATACCAGCAATCGCTTTTTTTTAGTGCAAAAATACACTAAAATTTGGTTTGAAAACTGTAATACCTACTACCCAAAAGAAAAGAAAAGACAAGGATTTGCAAGAGACACAGGGACATAGGAGCGGCAGCCCTGGCCGGTGTTGCTAAATTGTTAGAGCGTTGGCCCAGCAACAGAAGGGTCACGGGTTCGATTCCCAATCAAGGACATGTACCTGGGGAGGCAACCAATCTCTCATCTCGAAGCTTCTCTCTCTCTCTGTCCCTCCCTTACACTCTCAGCGGAAAAAATCTCCTCGGGTGAGGATTAACAAAAGCACAACAACAAAGCTGCGGACAGGGTGAGCAGCGCTGAGCGTTTCATCCTGGGCTTCTGCAGGGAGGGACCGCTTTCTGGTGAGGTGCTCAAGGCAGAGCCTGTGGTGGCCTCATCCACACCCTGACCACGCTCTGTCTCCCCGGGGCTGGGCAGCGAGTGCGGGGGCTGATAAGAAAGCACGCTGCTCTAGCGTGGAAGGGCCCGGCGAGAAAGAGAACTTCCCGCGGCCGGTACACCAGGCCCCTGGGTGCAAAGTGCTCTGCAGCTTCTCGTATGAGCTCTGCGCCCAAGCTTCGGTTAAGCCAAGGCTGCCGGCCTCAGGTCCCCCTCTGTACCTGGTCCAGGGCTGGGAGAGCCAGACAGGAGGCCGCGGCCCGGCTCCGCCCTCCTTGGGCCTGGGCGGGTGCAGGGCTGGTGACTGCTGAGACCCCTGCAGAGTGCACCCCCCCGCCCACTCCTAAGGATCTTAAAGTACTTTTAAAAAATATATTTTATTGATTTTTTACAGAGAGGAAAGAGAGAGGGATAGACAGTTAAACATTGATGAGAGAGAAACATCCATCAGCTGCCTCCTGCACACTCCCCACTGGGAATGTGCCCGCAACCAAGGTACATGCCCTTGACCGGAATCGAACCTGGGACCTTTCAGTCCGCAGGCCAACGCTCTATCCACTGAGCCAAACCGGTTTCAGCAGGATCTTCAGATTGATTCATCTCTAGTTTCCAGGACAAAACTTTTCTTCTAAACCTTCTCCCCATGTTACGTTCTCAGAAAAGCCCGTGGGCCGCCTCGGCCCTGCAGAGCGGCAAAGACCCAGTCTGGGTGTGGGAGTCAGGCGCCCCCGCCCCCGCCACCCGCCATCCCCATGGGTGTGTCTGGCAGAAGGCCCTATCTTCCCCATCCAGCAGAAGGGGGTTGCCCAGTCAGCTCCTGCCACACAGCCGACTTGAGTTGTACCCTCTTTCCCCGAAAATAAGACAGTGTCTTATATTAATTTTTTCTCCCAAAGTTGTGCTAGGCCTTATTTTCAGGGGATGTCTTATCTTTCCATGCACTAGGTCTTATTTTTGGAGGATGTCTTATTTTCGGGGAAGCACGGTAGGTGCCAATGACCAGCCAGGCACGGTCTGGCTGGGGCAGGAAACTGGCTCGGGTCAGAGTCTGCCCTGGGTCCTGGTTCGGGGCTGGGCAGGCCCCTCGGCCTCCCTGGGCGCGTCTCTTCGTGGGAACGTGAGGCAGCTACTCTCCTTAAAGGGACAGACTGCCCCTGGCCGCTCCAGCTCTGATGTCCGTCCGAGGGCATGGGAAGAATGTGGGGGATTTCTGCAAAGCCCACCTGGCAGTCAGATTAAAGACTGGGCCGGAGCCCGGAGTGAGAGGGACTCGTTCCCTTCGTTCCCCTCACGGTTTCGGTCGCCCCTCTTCCGCATCTGCCCCGAAGCCACAGATGAAGGAGCAGCCAAGTGCCACCGCCCCCCTCCCCCTCTGCCCCTCCAGAGAACACCCTCTGTGGGGGGAGGAGGGACCCTTACCTGAAATGTCAGTCACTTTGATGGTTGTAGCTCGCGGGAAGCTTTCTTTGAGGATCTGGGTTACTTTGAGCTCCCCCTCGGTCTGCGAGGCGAACATCCGCCGGGTGCAGCGAAGAGGAAGCTGTCACAGGACAAAGAGGTCCGGCTGAGCGAGACGACGCCGCCTCAGCTGGGCCACTGTGCAGCCCACCGCCATCTCCCCGCACCCCACCCTGAGAGGCCACTGTGCAGCCCACCGCCATCTCCCCCACCCCACCCTGAGGGGCCACTGTGCAGCCCACCGCCGTCTCCCCCCACCCCACCCTGAGGGGCCACTGTGCAGCCCACCGCCGTCTCCCCCCACCCCACCCTGAGGGGCCACTGTGCAGCCCACCGCCATCTCCCCCACCCCACCCTGAGGGGCCACTGTGCAGCCCACCGCCATCTCCCCCACCCTACCCTGAGGGGCCGGCAGGCCATGGGCTAAGTCACCTAAGCTCCCTGGGATGCAGAACCAACTTTCCTGGGGTGGGGATGATTGTAAATAACTCACTTGGACTCCAGAGACCAGGCCCCAAACCTAATGCAGCAGATGTCTGGCTTTGCCATGATAATGCCGGGAGAGATACGATCATGACGCCAGTTTTACAGGTGAGGAAGCTGTCCTTAAGCAATATGCCCACGGCTGGGCCCATTGGCAAAACGCAGAGCCGGGCGAGCACTGGGCCCTGCCAGGCATTGTGCTCCGCTGGCCCCAGGCGCTGGTGGGGCCAAAAGGCCACCTCCCCTGCAGGCCTGGCTAATATTCCCGTCTCTCCAGTGCGGTGTGATCTTGTGACCTGCTGTGCACTCAGCCGTGAATACTCACTGGGGAGACGCAGAATTCTATGAGACAGCCGGAAGGAGAGACACTTTTGGATTATTTGCCCTCTCCCCTCATGGCTGCCACAGGGACCCCGTGCTGCTGAGGGGAGCATGTCTCCGTCCTCAGGGGGAAGGCGCAGAAAACCGGGGCAGCAGCCCCCCGGCTGAGGTGAGGCTTCCTATAGAGTAGGGGTGTCGAACTCAATCAGAGAAGGGGCCAAAATCTAAAATCCAGCCTAAATCTCGGGCCGAATGGTTTACTGAACAGTCATAAACTGTCACTGTGATGGAAACGCAGCGGAGTGCAGTGATGACAGCGAGGTGCGCGCCACATTGCAAGGCCTGGCGGGACGGATTTGGTCCGCGGGCCTTGTGTTTGACACATGTGCTATGGGGCATGGCAGGCCTTGAATGTCAGGCTGAAGGTTTTGGACTCAGGCAGGCTTCTTGGTGCCAAGGCAACCTGCTCAAAGCAGCGTGTTTGAAGCTCGTCGGGAAAGACGCCCGGGGAAGAGGCAAAGGGAGCTGGAGGAGGACAGCAGGCGGGGAACACGGGCGCTGTTTATTAGAGCTGGAGCTACAGGCACCTCCCCTCCACCCTCAGGCCTCTCCTGCCGGCCCAGAGCAGGGTCCTGTGGTAGAGAAACCTGGGCACCTTCTTTAAAATGGCCTGGGCACTGGCCCTTTCACCACCTGGTCTCAAAGGCCACGCCTGAGTCTGTCCTGTTACTGCAGCCCTCCAGGGCTGAGCCAGGCAGGCCCTCGGAGGACCTGAGGAGGGAGGGAGGGATGGATGGAGGGAGGGTAGGATTGATGGATGGATGGATGGATGGATGGGCAGGGAATGCCCACTGGATACCCGCAGAGAAGTCCAGCAGGCAGCTGAAATGCAGGCCAGGAGAAAGAGCTGGACTTACTCTGAGTGCTGTGTGAAGGGAGAGAAATTTAGTGCTGTGGATCTGGGTAAGACTGGGGGGTGGGGTGGGGTGGAACGGAGCCTCTTCTGAGAAAAGCACTGGAGGTAGAGTGGGGTGAGGGAGGGGGGACAAAGGCAGAGAATAAGGGGGTGGCAGGCAGAGGGTGACCCTAAGGAGTGCGGTGGTTGTCAGCATTGCAGTTCTCAGGAGAAGCCGTTGCTTCTTCGCAGATCTGTGGGCAGCGGCCTTTAAACAGGCAAGCCACTGACAAAACCCCGAGGCCGCGGGGCCGCGCTGACAGGCACCGGCAGACCCGCTGGGGGAGGCAGGTCCGAGGCCAGCAGGGGAGAAGGAGGCACAGGGAGGACGGGGGAAGAGGTGGATGGATGAAGCGAGGGAGGGGTGGATCAGAGAGGGGAGAGGACAGTGGGAGAGCGTGCGGTGAGTGCCCTCTGCTGGGCCGGACGGCGGGAATGCGGGGTTTGTGCGGGTCAAGGTCAGCGAGGCCGGCGGACGGTCCCACAGTCCAGACGCCGCCACATGCCCGGCGCCCACGCGGGGACTCCGGGCTGGGACTCCTATGCCGGCGGCTCGATGGGTCAACACTGCTTCTCCCGTTAGGATGTCTGTCTGTCCCCCTCCCGTGCGCTGCATTGGGGTGTCTGTCTGCCCGGCCTCCACCCGGCCTGGGGGTCCCCCTGGCGCACCGGGTCCTGACACTTCTCCGAACGCCGGTTGCCGGGACCACTGAACGCATCAACGAGTGAAAGAATGAATGAACGAACGAACGAACGAACGAAAGGACGGGGAGCCCCTGCCCCGACCCCGCGGACCCTCCGCAGCTCCAGCCCCGGGGCGAGCACTTGGCCCCCGCCTGCCCGTGCTCACCCCGCGGATCCGGCGGAGCAGAGGCGCTGCCGCGGCCGGGCTCCACGCCGCCATGCCCGGCCGACGCGACACGCAGCCCGAGGTCGCCGCGTCTCCCGAGAAGGGCGAGGAGCCCAGAAGCGAAAGCCACCGGGGCGAGCGAGGCTGCCCCCTGCCGTCCGGAGGCCGCGGCCGCCCGCCCCGCCGGGTCTGTGCCTGCGGGACTCGCCACCTGGAACAGGCCGCGCCCCCGCCCTGGGCCCTGCCCACCCAGGCGCTCCGACAGCCAATCCCGGCGCGTCCCACCAGCGGGCCCCGCCCCCTCAGCCTGCAAACACTGCCCAGGTGTTTCCCGCATCCCAGGGCTCCTCGTGCGCTGGGCCGACCGCACTCTCCCCAGCTCCTGCAAGCTGGCTTCCCTGCTGGGGAGCGTGGGTTCCTTCCTCCAGAAAAGGGGAGCCGGAGAAGGACTTTAAAACAGGGGTGTCGTTTTCAGATGTGCGTATTAGAAAGGTCCCGGTGGCTCCTGCGAGGAGGAGGGACTGTGGGGGCTGGAACTGGAGCTGAGGACGGACGTTCCGAGGCTGTGGATGCATTGAGGTGAGACCTGAGGCCTGAACGAGAGCCGCTGCAGCAGGGCGGGCAGGGGTGGGTTGAGATTTGGGGGGAAGATGAATGCAATGCAGGGACTTAAATTGGGGGTGAGAGAGAGGAAGTCGTCCGGGTTGACTCCCAGGTGTCTGGCTTGGAAGACGATGTGGGTGGAGGAGGCCCAAGCTGGGCGTGAAGGGGGAGCGCCAAACTCCGCTTTGGACTTGCCGGAGTTGAAGGTGCCTGCAGGAACGGCCCACAGGAAGCTTAGGTTCCCCAGACCGTGGGGTCCCAAGAATGTAGTGGAAGCTGACGCCATGAGGTAAGATTTTCATCAAAAACTGCCCCGCCCCCAGTGTATCAGACGAAAACGAAGGTGAAAATTCTACCAAGCCCTTTCTCTCTCCAGCTGTGTTTGGTTGCAGCACGTAGTCTGCTATATCCTCTACCCTTTACCAGCCCTTTTTGCTATTTCATTCCGGCCTATCCAATCAGTAACCTTCAGCGTTTCAAACGGGTGGGTTGGTCAGACCTACAGCTGTTCTTTAAAGTGCTCAGCTAAAAATGGGCTCATTCATTCCAGTATTGAGTGACTCTCTACATCTTGTCTCATTAATTCCTCCTTTGAGTTACTGCAATAGCCTCTCACATTTTTTGATGCCTTAAAAAAGTATGGTTGATGGGATTAAGGGCACTTTGCTAACTTTTAATTTCTCTTCATTGATGTCTGTGACATAATTAAAACTGCCAACATTCTGCCGAAGCCGTTTTGGCTCAGCGGTAGAACATCAGTCTGCGGACTGAAAGGTCCCAGGTTCGATTCCGGTCAAGGGCATGTACATTGGTTGCGGGCACATTCCGGTGCGGTGTGTGCAGGAGGCAGCTGGTAGATCGACATTTCTAGCTCTGTATCTCTCTCCCTTCCTCTCTGTAAAAAATCAATAAAATATACTTATAAAAAATGATAAAAAGAAAGCTGCCAGCATTCTTTTACCCATTGGTGGAGTGGTGAACAAGCCTTTGCTACTCAAAAACCACAGGTTCAGGTGAGGCAGACCCACCCCACTTTAGGAGATAACCCGACCCAGGTTTGGCCAATTAGACCTAGGGATTGGCTTAGGGTTGGTCACATGTTCTGAGCCAGACCAATGATGATTTTTCTGGAACTGGAGAAAAGATCATTTTCAGCTGGTTGCTAAGCTGGTAGAGAAAGAACCTACTCTGGGCAGTTATCTTTGCAACCAAGGGGGCAGAGCCACTCTGGAAATGAAGCACACAGAAGAAAGCAGGGCTGAGAGGAGACAAGTGTGATGTTGCTTGTGCAACTGGAAACCAGCAGTGCCAGAATGAGCACTAAAGACATTTTTTTTTAATATATTTTATTGATTTTACACAGAGAGGAATTGAGAGAGAGGAACAGAGAGAAACATCGATGAGAGAGAACCATCGATCAGCTGCCTCCTGCACACCCCACACTGGGGACGTGCCCGCAACCAAGGTACATGCCCCCGACCGGAATCGAACCCGGGACCCTTCAGTCCACAGGCCGATGCTCTCTCCACTGAGCCAAACCAGTCCCGGCACTAAAGACATTTTAGTTGGTGTTAACTTAAGAATTAAAAAGTCCTGCTGAGCCGAAACAGTTTGGCTCAGTGGATAGAGCGTCAGCCTGCGGACTGAAAGGTCTCAGGTTCGATTCCGGTCAAGGGCACGTGCCTTGGTTGAGGGCACATCCCCAGTGGGAGGTGTGCAAGAGGGAGCTGATCCATGATTCTCTCTCATCGATGTTTCTAACTCTCTATCCCTCTCTCTTCCTCTCTGTAAAAAAAAATCAATAAAATATATATTTTTTTAAAAATTAAAAAGTCCTTTCAAAGCGAGAGGAAAGCAAGTGTTCATTTGAGATCAATAAGAATGGGTATCCAGGAATCATTCATTTAGGCAGAAGTCCAAATGTTGTTTGATTAGAAGACAAAGGCAATGGGTATTAATGACAAAGGAAAAGGGAACAATTACAGCAGAAGGAAAGCATTTCTATTGGTGCAGATAACCTAGGGATGTTAATTTAATTTTATTATTTTATATGTTGTTAGTGTTGATAGTATTACAGATATCTCTCATTCCACACCCTTTCCCCCTCCTCGTAGTCCTACTCCCCCCCCCCCCAACCTTACACCCTGTCTTCACTCCCCTATTGCCCATGTCCATGGGTTATGCATATAAGTATGTAAGTTCTTTGGTTTACCTCTTCTCGTCCCTCAACCGCACACTGAGGTGTGTCAGTCTGTTCCATACCTCCATGCTTCAGGTCTTATTTTGTTGGGCAATTCATTTTGTTCATTAGAATCCACAAATAAAAGAGACTGTGTGATATGTGTCTTTCTCCGTTTGGCTTATTTCACTTAGCATAATTTTTCCAGGTCCTTCCATGGTGTCCTAAAGGGTAAGAGATTCCTCTTTTTTACAGCTGCATAGTATTCCATTGTGTAAATGTCCCACAGCTTTTTAATCCATTCATCTGCTGATGGTGGGCACTTGGGCTGTTTCCAGATCTTGGCTATTGTAAATAACACTTCTATGAACATAGGGGTACATATGTTCTCTCTGATTGGAGTTTTGGGGTTTCTTAGGATATATTCCCAGAAGCGGGATTGCTGGGCCAAACGGTTCCATTTTTAATTTTTTGAGGAAACTCCGTACTGTTTTCCATAGTGGCTGCACCAATCTGCATTCCCACCAGCAGTGAACTAGGCTTCTCTTTTATCCACATCCTCATTAGCGCTTGTTGTTTGTTGATTTTGTTGATGATAGCCATTCTGAGAGGTGTGAGGTGACATCTCATTGTGGCTTTAATTTGCATTTCTCTGATGATAGTGACTTTGAGCATTTTTTTCATATGTCTCTTGGCCATTTGTATATCCTCTTTGGAGAAAAGTCTATTCAGGTCTTCCTTTTTTTTTTTTTTAATTTGATTGTCTTCCTTTTGTTGAGTTTTTATATATTTTGGATATTAACCCCTTGTCAGATGTATCATTAACAAGCCATACAGTGGGCTCCCTTTTCATTTTGCTGGTAGTTTCTTTTGCTATGCAGAAGCTTTTTATTTTGATGTAGTCCCATTTGTTTATTTCCTCCTTAGTTTCCTTTGCCCTAGGACAAGTGGTCAGCAAACTCATTAGTCAATAGAGCCAAATATGAACAGTACAACGATTGAAATTTCTTTTGAGAGCCAAATTTTTTAACCTTAAAATTCTTCTAACGCCACTTCTTCAAAATAGACTTGCCCAGGCCGTGGTATTTTGTGGAAGAGCCACACTCAAGGGGCCAAAGAGCCGCAATGTGGCTCGAGAGCTGCAGTTTGCCGACCACGGCCCTAGATGTTCTGTAAACATATTGCTATGTGAGATGTCTGAAATTTTCTCCTCTAACATTTTTATGGTTTCATGCCTTTTAAGTCTTTTATGCATCTTGAGTTTATTCTTTTTTTAAAAATATATTTTATTGATTTTTTTACAGAGAGGAATAGAGAGCTAGAAACATCGATGAAAGAGAAACATTGACCAGCTGCCTCCTGCACACCCCCTACTGGGGATGTGCCCACAACCAAAGTACATGCCCTTGACCAGAATCGAACCCGGGACCCCTCAGTCCGCAAGCCAACACTCTATCCACTGAGCCAAACCGGTCTCAGCTAGATATCATTTTTATTTTTATTTTTAGATTCAATTGTTGACAGATACTAGTATATATCTATTGCCATTTTGTTCATGTATTTGATATTTTTCTTTTTCCTTTTCTTAAAGAATACCCTTCAACACTTTATGTAATACTGGATTGGTGGTGATAAACTCCTTTAGTTTTTTCTGTCTGTGAAGCTCTTTATCCGACCTTCAATTCTCAGTGAGAGCTTTGCTGGGTAATGGTGGTTGTAGGTCCTTGCCATTCATCATTTTGAATATTTCTTGCCACTCTCGTCTGGCCTGCAAAGTTTTTGTTGAGAAGTCAGCTGACAAGTCATATAACTAACTGCTTTTCTCTTGCTGCTTGTAAGATTCTTTGACTTTAATCCTTGGCATTTTAATTATGATGTGTCTTATTGTGGGCCTTTGGGTTCCTCTTGTTTGGAGCTCTCTGCACTTTCTGGATTTGTAAGTCTATTTCTTTTACCAGGTGGGGGAAGTTTTCTGTCATTATTTCTTTCAATATCTTGCTCTCTCTGTTCCTTCTGGCACCCCCATAAATGGAAATATCGGTACACTTGAAGTTGTCCCCAAGGCTCCTTATATTCTCTTCATATTTTGGGGTTCTTTTTTTTTTTTTTTTAATGCTCTTCTGATTGGGTTTTGTTTTCCTTCCTCATATTTCAAGTTGTTGATTTCTCAGACTCAACTCTACTGTTGAATTCCTGTAAACTGTTCTTTATTAGTATTTCAGTTAGTGTATGCTTAATTTCTGAGTGGTCCTTTTCATGTTTTTGACATTCTCACTAATATCCTTGAAAGTCTCCCTTGACGATCTCATGAAGATCTTTGAGTATGGCTTTAAACCACGGTTGTATCCAAAAGTTTTTCTTCTATTTCTTTCATTTGTGACATGCTTCATTGTCTCTGCATTTTGGCTGCTTCCCCGTGTTTGTTTCTATGTATTAGGTAGAGCTGCTATGTCTCCTGAAGTTGGTAGAATGGCCTTGTGCAGTAGGTATCCAGTGGCTCAGCCTCCTTAGTCAACCTGAGTTGGGTACTCTAGGTCCACCCACTGTGTGGGCTGTGTGCACTCTTGTCATACGAAGTTGAGTCTTGATTGCTGTTGGTGCCACTGGGAGGAATTGACCTCCAGGCCAATTGGCCGTGATGACTAGTTTCAACTACTATGGGAGGGCTGCTGGATAGGAAACACCCCTATGGAGGACTTGCTTCAGTGGGATTTTGGTGCTGGCTGAGTCTGCCCCTTGAGTGTGTCACCTGTAAATGTGTAGAGTTGTAATCTGCTATGGTCTGAAGCTGTAGAGTCTACAGGGAGGTGCAAAGTCAGCCATTGCCTGAGGCCACCTGGCAGGAGCTAAAGAAAAACCTGCAGATACCTTCTATTTGTATTTGGTTTGGAAGTGCCCAGGCCAGCACCAGCTGTTAAGGCGGTCTGGTACTAATGCCAGGTCTTGGGCCTTTTATTGATAGATTTGGGACATGCTCTTACCAGCTGCAGCTTGTTTGAGAGATTTTAGCAAAGTCTGAAACCTGATCCAGGATAGGCCATTCATATGGAAAAGCTGCTGCCAACACTTGAGTGGGGCTGGAAATAGGATGGAGCAGGGTCTCAAGGAATCACCAGGGCCGAGAAAACAGGCTGAGCCAGGTTGATGGGGACTCGGATATGACTGCCAGTCAGCCCTGTGGCAGGGGAGGTCCCAGCACAGGAAAGTCCCCTGCAAGCACCCCTGTCTGGGAGAAAGCCATCCCGAGTTCCTGCTCTAATGCCAGACAATCCAGTTCCTCCCTGTATGTGTCTGGGTCCCCCAACACCACCTAGCGCTGGAGCTCATTGGGGTTGAGACCAAGTAGGTTTGTGCACCTGCCCTTTATTAGGGACACCTGGATCTCCGGCAGCTCCCGTGTTCCACAGCCACAATCCCCACTGGTTTTTATAGCTCGTGGTCGTAGCAACTTCTCTTCCCAGCTCCGAGATCCTGGGTTGGGAGTCTGGTGTGGAGCTGGCACCCCTTGACCTCATGAGGGGCCTGTGCAGAGACAATCTCTCCCAATTAATTTAAATAAATACGGCACCCTTGTGTGCCGGACTAGTGTGTTCTGTACCTCCACCCCTCCTGCCAGTCTCAATGTGCTTCTTCTCTAGTTGTAGGACTTCCATTCAGACAGCTTTCAAGCAGTTCTGGATGGTGGTTATTCTGTATTTTAGTTGTAATCTTGATGTGGTTGTGGGAGGTGGCAGATACAGTTTACAGAAGCACCATCTTGGTTCTCCCCGCTAAAATTCTTTATCTGGTCAGGACACACACACCTAGCTTTTGGGAGCTCAGAGACTGACATCTCGTGGTTAGTGGTAAAGATGCAGGTTGAGGTGTCCATACCTAGCCAGATAGCAATGAAGTATTTGATAGAGGAGTCCTAAGGCTTGTTTTGGACATTGTTTCTGACAGTGCAACTTTGAAGAGTGACTCTGGCCAAAGATTATCTGGTTTATTCTATTGTAGTATCCTCTTAATAAAGAGGGAATATGCAAATTGACCACTCCATCACATATATGGTGGCGCTCATAGCCACAAGATGGTAGCACCCAGTCCCCTTAGCCCTGCCGGAATCCCCCAGTCCTGGGGAGCGGCAGGTGGGCAGTGCAGCTGGATCGCCTCCAGGCAGGTCTGGCTGCGCTAATTGCCTCTGCTAGAGTCCCCCAGTCCTTTCAGTCCCACCGGTGGGAAGCAGGCAAGCGGGCCCAGCAGAAAGCACGGCCTGCTTACCTGTTGCCGTTAGAAGGTGCAGGTCGGGCTGAGGGCCTCCCCCCATGCACAAATTTTGTGCACTGGGCCTCTAGTTCATTTATAAAGTTTGAAACAGCTTTCAAATTTAGCCATTAGATATTTAATATTTTTAGTCAATTTTAAGCCTAATAAAATATAACTGTCCAAAAATTCCAAAACTAACTTACCAGTATTTAGCCACAGTCATTAAGTTTTTATTTCACATTCATTGAAGTTTTTAACTTTACTCAACAAAGGTCAAAACAATTCTAGCACTACTATTCTGACTGGACCTAAAATTAAGTATCTATAATTTGGACCTCTAAAAATAATATTCTCTTGTAATAATGAAAAATGGCTGAGGTGGGGGTGTCTTTTAGAAAATGCTGAGTACTCAATTTCAAGGTCAGAAAATTAAGAAGTCCAGTTTCTCCTATTCCCTTTTCTCAATCTCATAGCCAGGAATGTAGATCTGGGTTAGCAAGGTAGAAAGGAAACTACTTTTTTTTCCTCTGGGATGTACTTTAGACACAGTACCCTTTCTTCTAAGAGCTAAGAAAACATTTTAGCTACTAAATGAAAAGCAAAGACAATCTTCAGCAGAGGCTGCAAAAATTCTCAAATTTCACAAATAAGTGTTGAGACACATACCTGAGTCATTTCTTTCAATATATTTTATTCTGATGAAGTTACAAAAGTAGATACAAATTACTTTTTTTAAAGTACACTTAACTGACTTAGAAAAATAGATAAAGCCCCTAAAGATTTAAAAATACAACATAAGATTTCATGTAAAGAACATTTAAAAATGTTTTAGATGGTAACCAAAACTAATTTATACAAGCTATTTTTGATGTAGACCAAACATAATAAATCAGCAGTCTATTTGGATTTACAGAATACTTGTTTGGAATACAATTTGATGAGGGAAAACCCAAGTGAATCTTAATGCAATTGCTTCAGTAAAATTACAATCACATGTAATATCCCCAAAAACCTCCTATAGTCTGGATTCAAAGTAAAAATACAGGAAGACTGAGGGACTACCATTTTCCCTCTTTGCCAGAATTCTACAATAAATAGTAAATCCACTTATTGAACAAATATCAGGAGGATATAATGTCCCTGTTGAAGATGCTCAGATTGGTGTCCCAGGCCAGCGTATTTTAGGCTGGAGTTCTACAGACAGCAGACAGCCTCCACCACCACACAGGGGCAACACCACGCTGTGCCTGGGGCTGCTGCATAAACTTCTAGGACTTATATTCTATGGGCCTGATTTGTTTATGCTTGTGAAGCAGTAATGTTTCTCCAAAGTTCTACTTCTAGTAACCTCACTGCTCAGAGAAAAGGCCAACAGTATAATCAGGAAACCTCAACAAAGTTTGCAGAAGTTAAAATCAGCACCAGGATTGCTCCTCTTGCCTCACATGACTAGGAAAACTTTCCTTTTTTTTGTTATCAGAGATCAGAGTCATGATGACTACAGATTTGCATTTCTTGAGCAGGCAGTTACATGAGCCAAGGGCTGGAAGCCCTCTAAAATCACTTTATTCAGTCTAGAGAAGAATAAAAGATTCATTTGGCTGTCAATACAAAAATTAGTACAAGGAAATTTCAATATTTAAATAAAAATCTGCACATTTTCTTAAAGGCCTGAAAATAAAAGCACCAAAGGATTAACTGCATATTATAAAACACTCCCCCTAAACCCCATGATTATTATCAGGTAAGAGTGGGTCACTTTGACAGGAGATGGCTTGTGATCGGGAGGGGTCAGGGTAGGGAGTGTTGTCCAACAGGCATATGCTGGGCACAGAGAGATAAGTCAAACAACAGTTACCAGAAGCTGGCCCCTTAGCCAAGTCAAGAAGGGGCCTCCCCCCCCCCCCACCCCCATTCCTCCAATTATCCTGCCTTCAACTCCCTGGCCTTGGATATAAACAAGTAATGTTAACACTGATGTTTGAATGCATTGCTGACCAAACCAGATTGTATGGGAACCTGGTAATGTTTTTATTTTTAAAAAGGCCATTCTGAATCTCAAATTACCAACAATTTTATTTGTGTACTAGTATGCTGCCTTTACTCCTTATTCTAACGTTAGTCTTTGGTTAATTTTGGGTTGAGTCTTGAAGAGAGGGAAGATTTCTATCACGGAAAATAGGAGAAAATCAACCCTTTTGTTTGAGAATATTAGAAATATTAGAAATGATGATGCAAGTGCAACCCTTGTTGAAAAATCTAACTTTATTCCTTGCAGACTTAAAGCCAATAAGGTTTAAAGTTGAGAGGCAGTAACATTCTCAGCGGTATCCAGAAATCTGCCCTCTTGTTTGTAAAGGATCAACATAAACATATATACAGCCTGACAGGGGCCTTTGAATAAACTTAAAATGTGGACCATGGAATGTCTCATAGAGGGCTTTTCTTTTTTTTCATAGGTGATTATCCCACTCTTTAATTTCTAAAACAATGAGGTACAGTTTCAGCCTAATTAGATTAAATGTTTTGTTTCCTTTAAAATCCTGAATATATTTAATAATTCATTGAAATTGACTTTGACTTATTATAAAAACAGTTTCTAAGTAATTCTCTTCCTTATACTCTAGTGGAATAATAAAAATAAATAACAAAACAAAAAAAAAAAACCCACAAAAAAAACTATCAAAGCTAACCTATGCCAAAGCCATCAAGAAGGTGGTGAGTACTTTGCAAAAGTCACAACTCTGAAACAGAATGCTGGTGAACTTAAAGTGGCTGCTGTCTAGCAAGTCTTTAATATATTTGTGCCTCAATACACTTAAACCGTCAGAATTCATGAAATCCTAGAAGCCTAATGAAAATCAGATATTTTCTTTGTTAAAGGGAAGATCCTTTTTATCTGAATGGAAGTAGAATTCAGGTTTTAATACAATAATTAACACAGGATAAACCCCCAGGGGAGCCGAAGCCGGTTTGGCTCAGTGGTAGAGTGTCGGTCTGCGGACTGAAAGGTCCCGGGTTCGATTCCAGTCAAGGGCAGGTACATTGGTTGCGGGCACATCCCCGGTAGGGGGTGTACAAGAGGCAGCTGGTCGATGTTTCTCATCGATGTTTCTAGCTCTTATCTCTCTCCCTTCCTCTCTGTAAAAAATCAATAAAATATATTTTTAAAAAACGCAGGGGAGCTTAATCCATCCTTTAACTATTAACAGAATGAAGATCTTTTTTTTCTTATTCCTCCCATGCTGTCTCCTTTAAACACACAAACACAAGAATAGGAAACATCAAACTTATAACTGATATAAAATGTGTACATCTTTCAAGATTTTTTTGTGTGTGTGATTTCCTTAAGTTTTATCCTTATTGTGATAAAGTTGATGCATTTCTATAGTATTCTTTATTAAGTCTCAAGCCACACACACAAAAACAACCCAAACACACAATTCATTTTTTAAAAAGGAAATTCAAAACAATAAAGTAATCTGAGTATTTTCCATCCTATCCAGAATTTCAAACCTTCTGAAAGACAACATGAATGAAAATAGTGGTTTGAGGCCTAAATCTGTCTTAATTTTTTAGAAGTTTTCTTTTTGTCAGCCAAGTTATATATTCAAATTAATCTGAACAAAGTATTTAAAAAAACAAAAATCTACAAGACCACCTTAGATGCCTTAAAACAATTATTTCTAATATGCACACACTACTAAACATTGAGGTTCATATGTGAATAAAATGCAAATTAAGATTAAAAAGCAAAGTCATTTTAGAAATAACTTTGGTTACTCTCACATATGTCTTATGACTTAAATGGCAATCATGGATTTTGAAAAAATATACATATTATGTATTATCTATAAAAACACTAGTATATAACTTCAAACAACATGTTTATCCAAAGTGACAAATTGTTCTAAACCTTAAGGAAACAAAAAAAACACCACCTCTTTTATAAGCAGAATAAAACCTATCTGACTGAGATATTAACAAATTTGTGGTGGAAACTTGTTAATAAATTATTGGTCCAAATTCTTAATATCCATTCTGCTATAACCTGAAACAAACTAAGTCATTTTCTTTAGTAAAAGAATATGTAAACTGATAAACTACAGATTAAACATCACATTAAAAATGTGACCAGGTGATAAGAAGTGTGATGACATAGTGCCTCAAATCTGGCTGTGTCCTGAATTTCTCACTCGGAAGGTATTAGGCCAACCTACCTTTGGGACAATTTTTATCAGCAGAGACAATAGTTGTCTCTCTCTCCTGTTTCTTAAAGTTTGTATCACTAGTCTATAACAGATAGGAATGAGATAGCTCTAGCAGTAGATGAAGCAAGAGGGTAATCGTGTACTAGAAGAAACATTTATCTGTCTTTTGATCCAAGCTTCTCAATTAATTCCTGAAGAGGTGCCAACTCACGCCTATCAATCAGATTAAACTCCTAAAAAGAGAAGAAAAATAAAATTTAAAAATAGATCTAAAATTAAAACTCTGTAAATGTCAGAGAAAGTATTCCCAACACTAGTTTTCTGAAATTGAAATAATGAAATGATCTCTGAACATTTTAAAATACAATAATTTTTACTCCTTTTTAAAATCCGGAGAGCTTACTAAACAAGCAATTATAATAGCATGATGCTCACTGGGTAAAACACTGAAATTAAAATTGTGTTCACATTTACATAGGAATTATCTGAAAACTTTATGCTGAACCCTTGCTAGTGGTCACGCCAGGGGCAGCAGACCTTTTCATAGTTATACTAGAGGCCTGGTGCACAAAATTCGTGCACTGGGGGGTGGTGTCCCTCCGCCTGGCCTGTATCCTCTCGCAGCCCGGGAGCCCTGCCACTGGCTGGGTAGCCTGGGCCTCCCCCCACCCGGGGCTCTGATCAATCGCCCCGCAGAGGGAGGCCCTGTCTATCACTGCAGTGCCACCGGCCTGGTAGTCTGGGCCTCCGCTCTTTGGGGTGATCAATCACAGGGCTCCAAGACCAATAGCCCCAGGGAGGGAGGCCCCACCCATCCACTCAGCCTGAGCCCACCTGCCTGGGCCTCCCTCTTTGGGGTGATCACAGAACGGGCCTCCCTCTGTGGGGAAATCATGGGACGATGGCAGGGCCCCCTGACCAATAACAACACACCCATCTTGGCTGGCCTGGCACTACTGCGTGTCATAGTGTGGTCATTCGGATGGTTGTTCTACTGTTTGGTCGTTTGCATGTTACACTCATTGTTATAGACTAGAGGCCCGGAGCATGAAATCTGTGGGGGAGGGGAGAGAGGCTCTGTGATCGCCCAGCCTGTACTCTCTCCAATCTAGGACCCCTCGAGGGATGTCCGACTGCCCATTTAGGCCGGATCCTTTCTAAAAGGGCAGTCAGACATCCCTCCCACAATCCGGGACTGCTGGTTCCCAACTGCTCGCCTGCCTGCTTTCCTGATTGCTCCTAACGGCTTCTGCCTACCAGCCAGCCTGATCACCCCTAATCACTCCCCTGCCAGCCTGATCGCCCCCAACTGCTCTCCCCTCCTGGCCTGATCACCCACAACTGCCCTCCCCTGCTGGCCATCTTGTATCCACAGGGAGGCAGCCATCTTATGTTGGAGTGGTCAATTTGCATATTACTCTTTCATTAGAATAGAGGCCTAGTGCATGGGTGGGGCCTGCTGGTTTGCCCTGGTTTGTTTGGGATCATGGTGGAGGTTCCCTTGGGGTGAGGAGCATGGGGCGGCCGGGATGAGGGGCCTGTAGTGATTTGCAGGCCAGCCATGCTCCCCGGCAACCCAAGTGGAGGCCCTGGTATCTGGGATTTACTTATCTTTTGTAATTGAAACTTTGTAGCCTTGAGCAGAGCCAGCGCAGGCAGAAAGTTTGGCTTCCTCCATCACCAGGGGCAACCCAAGCCTCCTGTTCTCTCCAGCTCTGTGGCTGCCACCATATTTGTTGGGTTAATTTGCATACTCATTCCTGATTGGCTGGTGGGCATAGTGGAGGTACAATTTGTATGCTTCTCTTTTATTAGATAGGATTCTATATGCCATACAACCCCAGAAGATAAAGAGCATAGTACATTATCCTTTACGTGATACATAATATTGTAATACGCAAACTGACCAAACAATTGAACAGCAGAACGACTGTCCAAACGACCACACTATGACATGCACTAGTGCCAGGCCAGCCAAGGCAGGTGTGATACAATTAGTTGGGGGCCCCAAAGAGGGAGGCCCAGGCCACTGGCAGGTGGGGCAATCATTGGGGGAGGGGAGAGCATTGGCCTCCCTCTACGGGGCAATCTTTCGGGGGAAGGGGGAACTTCTGCAGTTGACCCTCCCAAAGAGGGAGGCCCAGACCACTGACGGGAGGGCTGTGGCGAGTGGGCGGGGCCTCCCTCTGGGGGGCAATCGATCATGGGGCTCCCATACTGTGAGAGGGTGCAGACTAGGCTGAGGGACACTCCCCCACCCCAGTGCATAAGTTTTATGCACTGGGCCTCTAGTCTATTATAAAGCTTCTGAGTTTTCCACCAAAAAATATCTAGACATTTGTATTTTGCATACAGAATTATATATTTCTAAAGCAAGACTAAGTCCCCATTTTTCCACATATTTTTCAAACAATGTGATTATTTTGATTTTTAAAGATTCTAGCTGCTAAAACTTCATAACATTTGGCCTTATGTGGGACTTCTAGACACTGAACCTAAGATAACATGTCACAGATTCTTCTAAATATTTCTCTTCCAGGCATAAACATCTCATGAAACAACCCAACTCGATGTTTTTCATGCGTCCCTTTACCAGCAGTGGCGATGGGTCAGAAGGATGTGGACAAGTGGTCTTGAGTTTTTGGTGCTCCTTGTCATAGCCTAACCAGAGACCTGGGCAGCCAGAGGCAGGAAACCCAGATGGAGATGATGCTTTCTATGCTGCTACACACATCAATAAAATAATGTAGAAAAGAGAACACTGCTTACTCTTAGCTCTGCATCTATAAATAAAACTCTATAAATTGTTCTTTATTAAAGTTACCAAACCAAGTATGTTCAAGTTGAAGAACACAAAAGTCAACATGGTTCAACTTACCTGAACAAAGAAAATAAAGTGCTTGAAGGAGGTATTGAGGTGAGCCTCCTCTTGCAGCTGCATCACAGAATCAAAGTGCTGGTGATAAATGTGGGCATAAACCCTAAACAGACGCTTTAGGATGGTCTTTGCCACAGACATAAAGTTTTTGGGAAATGGGACACCTATAATAAATATACATATATATATCCATTAGTCTTTTATCTAATGGGACAGCAGAAAGTTTAGATAGAGCCATAATTAACTCCAAAAGACAAACATGCACATTCACAAATACAAGCCTACTGCCATATATACATCTTTTTAAAGACAATGAAAAAGTAATTCCAAACATAAGCATATGAGGTATGCTCATATACCACACATTTTGTATCTTAAAATAGCAGGCACGGGTTTCAAAATGTATATATAAAATGTTACTGAATCAAAATTAAAATAAGCCTATTTGTGGTTAATATTGAAGAATGTCTTCCTAAGACTGAATGCCCAGCCGGTGTGCCTTAGCAGTTGAGCACTGACCCAGGAACCAAGAGGTTGCAGGTTTGATTCCTGGTCAGGGCACTTGCCCAGGTTGTGGGCTCAATAGGGAGAACTGATGCAGCCTACTGGTGTTTCTCTCTACCCATCTCCCTTCCCTTCTCTAAAAACCAACACTTTAAAAAAAAAGATAAAATGTAACAATAGTAAGCATTTGACTATAAATAGAAAATTTTTGTTTTATGTAATCTGTAACTAAAAAAAAATTACACACTCAACTAGGACTGGAAACTCCCCTAAGAAAAAGAAAAGGCACCTTTCAGGTCATCATAACCTACTGTTTTACAAGTAGTTTATCTTCTTAAATTCCTCTGAAAAGCCAGTTTTCTTAAACTAGGAGTATTTATTTTATTAAGGCTATCTTCATTTTTCTATAGTCTAAGAAGGGAATATATTTTCTGAAAAAAGAGGGGAAGAGCAGCTCCTATTTTCTAAGAAGTATCTCCTTAGGAAGTAACAGGGAGAGGGTTTGATAAGCCCTTCCCAAGCAGTGCAGGTAGGGATGCAACTGGTTACATTCCTGAAAATTTTGATTAACAAGACAAAGTCTCTTAGAAGGCAGGGAGAGGAGAAAAACAATACAATTGGCACTGAGTACAATAACCACAACGGTCTGTTCCAGAACATTTACTCTTGAAACATTTTCTTTAAATTTTCAAGAACAAAAGCTTAAACAATTTTCCTTCCCTGAATTTTGTTTTGTTTTTCAATAGTTCTTACTATCTTGAAATTTAGTATATTTTGCTCTTATAAGGTGGTTTTTTGGGGGATTCCCCTCCCCACCTGCTGTCTTGACTAACAACCTGCCCTTTCAAACATTATTGTGGAGCTTATGGGCCTGTTTTTCTGAAATTGGTCTTGTATAAATGTACTGAAAAGATGGATTTTATGTCAAATTCTTTTCAAAATTTATAAATGGGCACCTTGCTAATAAAAAGAACAGATATAACTTGGATATACTAGTTTAAAAGTGAATAAACAATTTCGTCAAAGCAGATAATTGGCATAAATAAATGTGGTATGTAATAATAATGTAATGAGGGGGGGAAATGCCAGAACATTAGGGTAAATTACTGATGAATGGGAAGCTGAGAAAAGAGAATTAAGTCAAAAGTATTCTTAAGAAAACTTTAATGAATAAAGAACTATTTGTTTAAATCTAAGCACTTTCAAGTTGAATTTGACAGAAACATTCAAGCAGAGTCACTATATAGTAACAAATCTTTATTTGCTATTAAGCAAATAAAATGCTTAATAGAAAAGTTGACCAATAGCAAACAGGAAAAATGTAACAAGATATAACTTCTGGAAAACCTTTAGACTGCAAAAAAGGAATCTGCTATGGTCTGTGTTGTTCTCCTCCTACCTCCTGGCAAAATCCGTACGTTGAAGTCCTATCCCCTAGTTCAGTGGTGGGCAAACTTACTAGTCAACAGAGCCAAATATCAACAATACAATTGAAATTTCTTTTGAGAGCCAAATTTTTTAAACTTAAACTTCTTCTAACTCCACTTCTTCAAAATAGACTCGCCTAGGCCGTGGTATTTTGTGGAAGAGCCACAGTCAAGGGGCCAAAGAGCCGCATGTGGCTCGAGAGCCGCAGTTTGCCGACCACGGCTCTAGTTGATGGCGTTAGTAGGTGGAGCTTTGAGGAGGTGATTGGATCACGAGGGCCCGCCTTTCATGGGTGGGATGAATGGCCTCATAAAAAGAGGCCTCAGAGAGCTGCCCTTCCACTATGTGGGACTAGGTGAGAAGTCCGCAGTCTGAAGTGGGCTTTCACCAGAGTCCAGCCACGCTGGCACCTGACCTCAGACTTTCAGCCTTTAAACTTTGAGAAATGAATTTCTCTTGTTTATGTGCCATCCACTTTCTGGCATTTTTATTATTACAACAGCCTTAACAAACAAGACAGAATCCAACATGTTCATAAGACACCTTTACCCTGAAAATGTCAAGGACCAATCTCATCCATAAATCCAATTTCAAAACCTTAATCAAAATATTAGCAAATAAAAATTCTCTTCTAGGAGAACATTAAAAAAAAAAAAAAAAGAGAAAATCTGATGGTCATTAGCAACACAATTCACACACCTGTAACCAAAAGCAAGATTCTTGCTTAATGCTAAAATACCAGACACACTCATAAAAGGAAACAAGAAAAGGATGTCTGCCATCATCACCATTAATCAACACTGCTCTGGAAGTACTAGTTGGGAAGTACAATTAGGTAAGAGTTACCAAGAAATATACATTATCAGAAAGAGGCAAAATTACCATTAGTTTGATGTAACTGTATACTTTAAAAACTCAAGAAAAACAACCCAAAACAACAGGAATAATCAAAATCTGGTGGTCAATTATAAAATTTATATAAAAATCAACAGATTTTCTATATACTAACCACTAACCACTGGAAACCAAATATTAATTTAAAAAAATATTAAATGCCTAGGAATAAACTGAAGAAACTTGAAGGATTAGCATAAACTATAGAATTTTATAAGAGGATATAGCAAATAAAAGACATGAGTAAATGAAGAAATATACCTTATTCTAGGATAGGAAGGTACAGGATTGTCAAGAGAACAAGAATCCCTATATTAATCTACAAATTGAATAAAATAATAAAAATCTCACAAAGATATATTTTTTTTACCTTGACAAAATGATTCTAAGTTCTTTGGAAGAACAAATATCCCAGAATAGTCGTGAATATTCTGAAAAAGAAGAGCAAGGAAGAGAGACCAGCCCTATAAGATGCTCAAAGATATATGCCCATGGTTAATTAACACAGTATGGAATTTCTACAGGAACAGATAAAGAGATTAAAAGACTCCAAAATATGTGACAATTTGATGATCAGGGAAGAAAAGACACATGTATTTGATAAATAGTACTGGACAAACTGACTACCATTATAAGTGAGGAAAAAATGAAGGAAACAATGAGAAAAAAATTCCTGACAGAACAAAAATTTAAATGTAAAAACAAAAAGTACTAAATGAAAACATGGATAAATATTTTTATAATAGTGAAGTAGGGAAAACCTTTCTAATCATTGATTAAGACCCAGACATCATTAAAGAAAAGATTAATAAGACAAAATAAAGTTATATATAGATAAATCACTTGATGAACACAGTAAGACAAAAGGCAACCTAGGGAAAAATACAACATTTATGACAAAAAGCTAATATCTTCCTTAACATATAAATAAATGAACAAAGAATATAAAGAGAAAACAGAATGATCAATACGAGAAAAAATGCTCAATCTCATCAATAGCTTAAAAATGTACCTTAAAACTTATTTACCTAAATTAAAAAAAAAATTTTTCAGTGACTAACAACCAGTATTGGTGAAGAAACACAGGCAGACACAAACATCTGTGAAAGGAATATCCATTTATAATCTTTTGCAGATAAATTTTGACAGTGTTACATTTTTAAAAAATAGAGCATTAAAAAGCACACATTTATCATTTAAAAAGAAAAGCAGTTCTACAACATTAACTCACCAATCTTAGAAGGAAAAAGGGTTTCATCATCAAGTTGGTCCTGAACCCAAGTCATCAAATAGTCAATGTATTTTGGTGCAGAACATTTGATTGGCTTTTTAATATTAGTACCATCTGCCCAATGATATTCATATCTGAAGAGAGAAAGGTTTTATTCATAGTTTTCACATTAACAAATGTGCAACTTATAATCAAAGTAGGTTCACATTTTGTCAACATATCTTTAGTAAATTACCTAAACTACCTAAGATTACTGAGAGCTTCCCATTGAATTATTTTGAAAAGTGATGGTTATAGTTAGAAGAAAAAGAGAAAATAATGTGGCAGCTGGCAGTGCCAGAATGGATATTTTCTAGCATAGCCTTAGGAAAGATAAATGAACTGTATTTCTGTCTGTGAAGACTGGGGAAGGGACTGATGGATCACTGCATTCTGAGTTCCTTGGCCACCAAGTTATCACCAATAGAGTAAAGATCATAAAACCCTACCCAGCCAGTATGGCTCAGTGGTTGAGTGTTGCCCTATGAACCAGGAGGTCATGGTTGATTCAGGGCACATGCCTGGGTTGTGGGCTTGATCCCCAGTGGGTAGATGCAAGAGGCAGCTAATGGATGATTCTTTCTCATCACTGATGTTTATCTTTCTTTCCATATCCCTTCCTCTCTGAAATCAATAAAAACATTTTTTTAAAATATTTTTTATTGTTTTTACAGAGTGGAAGAGAGAGGGATAGAGTTAGAAACATCAATGTGAGAGAAACATTGATCAGCTGCCTCCTGCACACCAAGGCACATGCCCTTGATCAGAATCGAACCTGGGACCTGTCAGTCCCCAGGCCGACACTCTATCCACTGAGCTAAACCGATTAGGGCAATAAAGACATTTTTTAAAAACATTATAAAACCCTGTTTTTTGGAAAGGGTGTAAGTTAGTCATGTTTCTAAGAAAGCAATACTTAGGCACTCAATATTCATTCAGAACAAAGAGTATGCTCAGATGGTGTGCTTAACTAGAATGATTAAAAGACTTATAGGAAACCTCACTATATAAAGTATTTAAGCCATAGATAGTTTAACTTTCTTAAATTTCTTTAAGGAAGCTTGAGAATTAAAACTTAAAACAACACAAAATAAAAACATCCTTAGCACTAGCTGGTTTGGCTCAATGGATAGAGCCTGTGGACTGAAGGGTCCCAGCTTTTATTTGGTCAAGGTCACATGCTCGGGTTGTGGGCTCAATCCCCAGTAGGGATCGTGCAGGAGGCAGCCAATCAATGAGTCTCTCTCATCGTTCAAGTTTTTATCTCTCTCTCTCTCCCTCTCCCTTCCTTTCTGAAGTAAATAAAAATATATTTTTAAAAGATATTCCTAAAATACCATAATAAAAACTAGTGGCCCAGTACACAAAATTCGTGCACTCAGGGAGGGGGAGAGAGTCCCCTAGCCAGCCTGTGCGCTCTCACAGTGCAGGAGCCCTGTGATCAATAGCCCCAAAGAGGTAGGCCCCGCCCACCCATCAGTGCTCCTTGATGAATTGCCCCAAAGAGGTAGGCCAGAGCCCTGTTCCCGCCTCCACAGCAGGTGTGTGCAGGCGGGAACCACCCCCACGTGCACACGCAGTGCCAAGCCCTGCCCACCCTAGTGATGGACTGTGACAGTGTGAGGGCTTTTATTAGTATAGAAGATAGGATTACCAACTGCCTGGGGATCTATCCTTCACACCTGTAGAAAATTCAGAAAAGACAATTTTTTCCCCCAAGAGGTGAATAAATACCTTGACACCAACTACCATGACATAAATTCATACTATCTAGAAAAGACTAGAAGGAAACACCTAAATCACACACCATCAAACTTTGACAACATACAGATAACAGAGTTCCATCTCTTTCTCAGTATTTCTTGAAATTTATTATAGTCAATTTTTAAAAAATCTAGCAACTTTAAGCCAAATAACACAGCACAGTTGGAAGTAATTAACACTAAATAAGCATAGAAAAAGGAATCAAATATTAAAAAGTTAACTAAAAACTTGATTTCAAGAACTAATTTAAAAAACAGAACCATAATGTTAACAGAGTTCTAAATTTCTTTTCCTTTTACAACTCCTTACTTTAATGCAATTACAAAATCAAGCACTAAGTACCAAATGCCAAAGTATTTAATAACTAAAAGCTTATAGGTAAGTATTCAAGAATCCATAAAATCAAACTGCTTTTACAGAGATAAGAAGAAAGTCTTCATTATTTAATTTCTATCAACTAGTGATTACCTTTACTTAGTACTCCTATATAAAATGCAGTAATATGTACCTTGGACCTGCAGACATGACTGGACAGCTTGCTTCAGTGCAGAATTCTGTAATAGTTCCATATAACATGTTGATCTGATTGAAGAAATCCACAGCTAGAAATATAACAGCAGAATTGTGTTAAAATATCTATGTAAACACACCACCATCAGACCTCTCAGATGAAAGAAAAGTAGACAAATTCTTGGCTGAATCCTTGGGAAATTCAACGATCCAAGGATACTGTAAATTCTCTTTCCTTTGTAAGTTGTCACACCTAAGTAAACTTTTAATATATATTCATTTTTAATATACTAAGCTTTTAACCAGCATGTAACAGCAGAAAAATAAAAATCAGAGATAATTCTAACTTAATGGTGACTATACATCATTAGAATATACAATTTGATTACATCCAAGGGAATGAAAAAAGACATAGCTTCTATTCAGCTGGACCAGACAATTATCATTTGCATCAGAAGAGTGTTAGGAAATACACTGTGAGGGAAGTGTATTGGCAGTTATGAACAGTCATTAAAAAAGTCCAATTCATCATAACAAATTTGAGGCTAGCTCTAGCTGGATTGGCTAAGTAGATAAGAGTATCGGCCTGAAGACTGAAGGGTCCCAGGTTCGATTCAGTCAAGGGCACAAGGGTTGTGGGCTTGATCCCCAGGAGGAGCCATGCAGGAGGCAGTCGATCAATAATTCTCTCTCATCATTGATGTTTCTATCTCTCTCCCTCTCTGAAATAAATAAAAATATATATTTCTTAAAAATTGAGGCTATACATATTGAAGACATTTAAAAAAAATACACAGGACAATGTCCCTTACCCTGAATTCTCCCAGAAGGGGCAAAATTACGAGATGAATAATACAATATAAGAAGATAGATAGTTATATTATACAAAGGCCAACAATAAGTGCGAGAGTTTAGAGAAAAGGTAACATATTAAAGAGTTGAAGTCGTCAGGGAGTGCTTGTCAAGGAGCTTCAGCTAGATCTGCAAAGAAAAAAGAAAAATGGAACAGGAAGGAGAGTGAAACAACTGAGTGAAGCATATTACCCTCTGTACAAAGCAAACCACATAAGCCTTAAAACTCAAGTTTTTTAAAAATGGTTTCTTTCCCTGTCTAAAGCAGTACCTAAAAATCCACTTGGGTTTTTTCAAGTTTCTTAAAAACATATTTAAGAAAGTTTGTACAAAACTCCCTCACTTACAAACCTTACTTTTAGTCATGTTTCTAAGAAAGCAATACTTAGGCACTCAATATTCATTCAAAACAAAAGTATGCTCAGATGGTATGCTAGTTTAGTTTATAAATCTAAAGCAGCAATTTTCAAACCAGTGTGCTGCAAGGAATTTTAAAACATGCAATACCTGACTAGTCAGGGGCACTGACCTCTTTTTCCCTTAAATTATAAAATTAAAAAATGACAAGAGTCAACTCAATAGCTGTCTGGTGTGAATGACTCAAAATTATACCATTTATTTATTTATTTATTTTTGGTCAGGTAAAAATAAATTTTTTGCTTTGCCGCAGAATTTTAGCAATCAGTTTATTGTCAGAGAGAAGTTTGTTATTAGAAAAAAAGAGAGAAATTGCTGAAACCGGTTTGGCTCAGTGGATAGAGCGTCAGCCTGCAAACTGAAAGGTCGCAGGTTTGATTCTGGTCAAGGGCATGTGCCTTGGTTGCGGGCACATCCTCAGTGGAGGGTGTGCAAGCTGATCAGATGTTTCTCTCTTATTGATGTTTCTAACTCTCTATCCCTCTCTCTTCCTCTCTGTAAAATATCAATAAAATATATATTTTTTTTAAAAAGAGGAACACCTATTTATGCATTCATTGGTTGATTCTGTTTGTGACCTGACTGGGGATTGAACCTGCAACCCTGGCATTTCAGAATGATGCTCTAATCCAGCGTTTTTCAACCGCTGTTCCGCGGCTCAGATGTTGCCTGGTGTGCCGTAGGTGCAGACAAGACAAGAATTTTATAATTTTTCACTATTTTGTTTACTTAATATTTCATAATAAAGTAATTATAAAATACTTTCTTTGTGTTTATTTGATTCCTATTCAAGAGAATTACTTTATATATAGTCAATATAGGCACAGAGTTAAATTTTTTAACGTTTTCTAATGGTGGTGTGCCTCGTGATTTTTTTCATGAAACAAGTGTGCCTTTGCCCAAAAAAGGTTGAAAAACACTGCTCTAATCAACTGAGCTACCTGGCCAGGGCTGCACCTTGTTTTTTTCTCTTAGTGATATAAATAATGGCTTTTTAAGAGAGTTGAAAAAAAGCAACATTTTTCTTATGTGGCTATTAGAAAATTTTATATTAAATTTGGATCTTACATTATATTTCTATCAGATGTGCTAATCAAGGCAACAGTTATCAACAGCTGATTAATAATATACCACATAAAGGCAACTAAACACTATGGAAGTCACTATATCATTAAAAGCATACAGTAGCACTAGAGGCCCGGTGCACGAAAAATCATGCACTGGAGGAAGGGTCCCTCTGCCCAGCATGCCCCCTCTCATAGTCCGGAAGCCCTCAGGGTCAGGAGGCGACCTGGCGATCAGGGAAAGGCGACGACCCACCGCACCTCTGCTGCTGCTGCTGGCAGCACAAGCCTTGGCCGGCCCTGGTTACCTGACCTCAGACAGGATCTCGGTGGCTGGGCAGTCACCATCTGAGGCTTGCCTGCGCCTAGGGCCACCCCTGGTCGGCTGGGGGGTTATGGGACTGGGGGACTCTGGAGGCAGGAGCGTGGGGCAGGCCCAGCATTGCCATGCCTGCCATCCCAGAGGGGCTGAGGGGGACTGGGCACCACCATCTTGTGTCTGGGGGCGCCAACATCTTTGAGACAGCATGAGGATCAGTTAGCATATTTCCTCTTTATTAGATAAAATTAGCATCTATGAAGTTCTCTTACAAACAAAATCAAGTCTGACTAATCCAAGCTCCAAATCTGTGCTAACATGGTAGCCACTTACATTAAATGAAGTGAAATTTAAGATTCAGTTTCAGTCACATTAGCCACATTTCAAGTGGCCACAGTGCAGATATAGAACACTTACATCATAACAGGAAGTACTACTGGACAGTGTTGCTCTAGATCTAACAGTTACAGGAAATAAAAGGAGGAACAGAACATAATTGGTGTCTTGGGATGATCAGTAAAATTCACACTGTGGAGAACAAATGAACTAATGTCTTTAAGAACAACAAAACAGCAAAAGAGAAAAGACTATAAAGAGGGGAAACATGTACATATATACAATGGAATATATGTACATATATATTTCTCAGCCATAAGAAAAGATGAAATATTGCCATTTACAACAATATGGATGGATCTTGTGAATATCATGCTAAGCAAAGTCAGTCAGATGGAAAAAGTCAAGAACCATATGATTTCACTCATCTATCTATATACTAGAGGCCCAGTGCACAAAAGTCATGTAAGGGTAGGGTCCTCGGAGCAGCCAGGTCGGGTGCGGCCAGGCCCGGAGCAGTGGCTATTAGGCTGGGAGCAGCCAGGCCCGGAGCAGCAGCTGCCAGGCCCTGAGCGGCCGGGCACGGAGAGGCCGGGCCCAGAGCAGCCGGGTTGGGTGCGGCCAGGCCCGGAGCAGCAGCAGCCAAGCCCAGAGCAACCAGGTTGGGAGCGGCAGTGGCCAGACCCGGAGCAGCTGGTTGTGTAACAGACCAGAGCAACAGAGGCCAGGCCCGGAGCAGCCAGGCCCGGAACAGCTCGCTCCTCGCCTGGCCCCGCCCCAAGGCTGCTTCTCAGACATGGCTGGAAACTTTTGTGGGAACTTGAGGGTCTGCTGAATCAAGTGATGAAGGCTTAGATCTGGATATGTGGAGTTAGTATAGCGCTGGGGTGTTGATCTGTGAGTGCCTTGTGCGGGGCCTGGATGAGGTTGGTTGACCTAATTGGAAATGTCTTTTGTGTGAAGTGTATCTTTGGGCATGTGGAGGTATTATTGATATGAGAAAATGCTAAGTAACTGATTTACTATCTGAAAAGGGATTTACTATTGGGGAAAGGGAGGGAGGAAGAGACTGAACATAAACTGTGCACTTATGGATGAAGACAATGGGGGAGGGGAAGGGGAAGGGGGCGGAGGGTGGGGTGGGAACCTGGTGGAGGGGGGAAGAAATGAGGAACCTTTGTAATAATATGAACAATAAAGATTGATTAAAAAAAAAAAAAAAGGGGGTAGGGTCCTTAGGCCTGGCGGGCGATCAGCGCCAATCGGGGCCAGGGCCTTCCTTCCCCAGCTGCCAGCCACTGGCCAGGACCTTCCTTCGGGCCACACCTCCCCCTGGTGGTCAATGCACATCATATGAGCAAACTCCCAGTCTCCTGGTCAAACTCCCGAGGGGAGACTTCGCATATTAGCCTTTTATGCACATAGAAGACAGATATAAAAGCCTAAGTGACCATCTGACCGGTAGCTATGATGCGCAATGACCACCAGGGGTCAAATGTATGATTTCAGAAGGAGATCTGACTTTGGGTGGTGAGTACACAATGCAATACACACAGGATGTATTATAAAAGTGTATAAAAGTGTAAAACATCTCTATACAATTTTATTAACTAATGTCACCCCAATAAATGTATTTTTAAAATTTAAAAAAAGGAAAAAAAACAGGCCTTCCTGGATCCTGATTTAAACCAACCATACATTTTATTATTATTATTATTATTATTATTATTATTATTATTATTTACTTACTTATTTTAATCCTCACCCAAGGATATTTTTCCATTGATTTTTCAGAGAGAGTGGGAGAGAGAGGAAAAGACAGAGAGAAATATTGATGTGAAAGAAACACATCAGACCAGGCCAGGCAGAGGGACTAGGCTGGGGTTCAGGCTGGAGAGGAACCTGCAACTGAGGTATATACCTTTCTGGGACCATTAGGTCTGACAGCTATACATTTTTTGTAAATATATTTTTTAAATTGATTTTAGAAAGAGAGGAATGGAGGGAGAGGGAAAGAGAAGGAGAGAGGAGAGAAGAGAGAGAAAAGAGAGGAGGGGAGAAGAGGGGAGGGGAGAAGAGGGGAGGAGAGAGGAGAGGGGAGGAGAGAGGAGAGAAAGACTGATCAGTGACCTTCTGCATGCCCCCTACTGGGGATTGAGCCCACAACCTGGGGCCGAGACTAGAACTGGCAAACTTTTAGTACATGGAATAACACCCAACCAGCTGAGTGACACTGGCCAGGGCCCAATCATACTTTTTTTTTAAAGAAACATTTATAGGACAATCAATAGAAATATGAACACTGATTGCATATTTGATACCATAAAAGAATGGTGGTATTGTCATTATCTTTAAAAAGAGTTGTCTCGCCAGGCCCGAAGCAGCCGGGTCTGGTGCGGCCAGGCCCGGAGCAGCGGCTGCCAGGCTGGGAGCGGCCAGGCCCGGAGCAGCTGGGTCTGGTGAGGCCAGGCCCGGAGCAGCCGGGTTGGGAGCAGCCAGGTCCAGAAGAGCAGTAGCCAAGCCCGGAGCATCCAGGCTGGGAGCGGCCAGACTCGGAGCGGCCGGGCCCGGAGCAGCCGGGCCCAGAGCAGCCGGGTCTGGTGCGGCCAGGCCCGGAGCAGCAGCTGCCAGGCTGGGAGCAGCCAGACCCGGAGCAGCGGTTGCCAGGCTGGGAGCGGCCAGGCCCGGAGCAGCTGGGTCTGGTGCGGCCAGGCCCGGAGCAGCGGCTGCCAGGCTGGGAGCGGACAGGCCTGGAGCAGTTGGGCCCAGAGCAGCCGGGTCGGGTGCGGCCAGGCCCGGAGCAGCAGCATCCAGGTCCAGAGCAACTAGGTTGGGAGCGGCGGTGACCAGACCCGGAGCAGCTGGTTGTGGAACAAACCAGAGCAACAGAGGCCAGGCCCGAAGCAACCAGGCCTGGAACAGCTCGCTTCTCGCCTGCCCCTGCCCCACGGCGGCCTCTCAGACATGGCTGGAAACTTTTGTGGGAACTTGAGGGTCTGCTGAATCAAGTGATGAAGGCTTAGATCTGGATGTGTTGAGTTAGTATAGGGCTGGGGTGTTGATCTATGAGTGCCTTGGGTGGGGCCTGGATGAGGCTGGTTGACCTATTTGTAAATGTCTTTTGTGTGAAATGTATCATTGGGCATGTGGTGGTATTATTGATATGAGAAAATGCTAAGTAACAGATTTACTATCTGAAAAGGGATTTACTATTGGGGAAAGGGAGGGAGGAAGAGACTGAACATAAACTGTGCACCTATGGATGAGGACAATGGGGGATGGGGAGGGGGCGGAGGGTGGGGTGGGAACCTGGTGGAGGGGGTAAGAAATGAGGAACCTTTGTAACAATATGAATAAAGATTGATTAAAAAATAAATAAATAAATAAAAATAAAAAAATAAAAAGAGTTGTCTTTTAGAGATATTGAAATCTTTATAGATGAAATAATATGTCTGCGATTTACTTCAAAATAATCACGGTGAGATACACAGAAGAGTCATGAATTGGCCATGATCTGATCAGTTAAAGCTGGATAATGGTTACCCAGGAATTCACCGTGCTAGTTTCTCTACTTCTGTATGTTTGAAATTTTCCATTAAATAATTTATTTATTTATAATATATTTTTATTGATTTCAGGGAGAAAGGGAGAAAGAAAGATAGAAATATCAATGATGAGAATCACTGATCAGCTAGCTACCTCCTGCACACCCCGCATTGGGGATCAAATGCACAACCAGAGCATGTACCCTGACCAGGAAATGAACCATCAATATAGTTGTGTTCTCAATCCCTGTCCAGGAATTAAACCATGACCTCCTGGTTCACAGGTTGATACTCAACCACTGAGCACACGGGAATCCATCTGTATAGTTGTGTTCCCAAATTCCTAAAACATCGGAAATTTTTATTGAATAATAGACTTAAAGCTTATTACCCAGAGCTGATCTTATCTCAGAAGTGATATAACCTTAATATTCAAATCTCTAGTCTCAGCATAATCTTCCATGTCATGCCCTCACTTTCTTGAATTCCAAGAGTGACTTTCAGCTTATAGATTCTACCATTTTCCCCCAAACTCTCAATTTCCTATGACTACTCAAGTCACAACCAAAAAGTGATAAAAGCTTTAAATAGCAATTGGCTTTTCTGTATACGTAGTAGCAAATTAGAGCTGCTAGAATTGGGAACACAATTATACAGATGGGGTTCCCTACAAAGTCACGGTGCACCACAAGTAGAATCTTTACATTTACCGATCTTTTACTTAAGTTAACTCAGCTGCATTCTCCCAAGCACTCATCGTTCCTTCTTAGGTCTCTTTTCTCAACCACAAAAGCTACAACCAAGTACTCTGAAGAGAACACTACAGTTTTTAATTTATATGTATTTGCTAGAGGCCCGGGGATGGGGGTGGTGGTGGGTGTGTCCCTCAGCCCAGCCTGCACCCTCTCCAATCTGGGACCCCTCGAGGGATGTCCAACTGCCTGTTTAGACCAGCAGTTGAACATCCCTCTCATAATCCAGGACTGCTGGCTCCCAACTGCTCGCCTGCCTGCCTTCCTGATTGCCCCTAACAGCTCTGCCTGCCAGCTGGATCACCTCCTAACCACTCCCCTGCCAGCCTGATTGATGTATAACTGCTGCCCTGACAGCCTTTTTGCCCCCAACTTCCCTCCTCTGCCGGCCTGGTCACCCCTAACTGTCCTCCCCTGCGGGGTTGATCTCCTCCAACTGCCCTCCCTTGCAGGCCTGGTCCTTTCCAACTGCCCTCCCATGCTGGCCATCCTGTGGTGACCATCTTGTGTCCACATGGGGGCAGGATCTTTGACCACATGGGGGCAGCCATCTTGTGTGTTGGAGTGATGGTCAATCTGCATATTACTATTTTATTAGGATAGAGACCTGGTGCACAGATAGGGGCCAGCTGGTTTGCCCTGAAGGGTGTCCTGGATCAGACCGGGGCTTCCCTTGGGGCATAGGGCAGCCTGGGCAAGGGGCCTGTGGTGGTTTGCAGGCCGGTCACTTCCCCTGGCGACCCAAGGGGAGGCCCTGGTACCTGGAATTTACTTACCTTCTAAAATTGAAACTTTGTAGTCTGGAGCGGAGCCAAGCCTCCTGCTCGCTCAGTTTGGATTTGTTTACCTTCTATAATTGAAATTTTGTAGCCTCGAGTGGAGGCCTAGGCCAGCAATTGCAGGCAGAAAGCTTGGCTTCCTCTGTTGCTGGGGAAACCCAAACCTCTCTACTGTTCTCTGTGGCTGTAGCCATCGTGGTTGGGTTTATTTGCATACTCACTCAGATTAGCTGGTGGGTGTAGCAGAGTGATGATTAATTTTCATATTACTCTTTTATTATATATGTATTTATGTGTTTCTTTACAGATAATATACAACCTACACATAGCTGTAAAATAAAACTCATTTACAAAAATATTTTAGCAAAGCATTCCTATAAATCAGCAAAGTAGAATGTTATTAAAAACTTACTGTTAACAGCAATCCATTCATTGAGATCCTCTCCCTCTGGCAACATAACAGCTTGTCTCAGATTCCCACTTCCTAGAGTTGCTTCTGCATGTTTTAAGAGTTCATATTGATGAGACCCTTCAGGGATATTTTTCTTTGGTTTGAATGTTTTAGAAGAGCGGCTGCTGCTGTTAGGTTAAAAGAAAAAGTATATACATTTTTAGGTCTAGAAAGAAGCAGAATTTTAATGGCATAATATAAACTGTAAAATAAATAAAAAACAATGCCAGGATTTGGGGGTAGGGGGTGATGATCACAATAAAAGAATGCATTAATTTTTTTTCTCATGTAGAAACAGTATTAGCAGCACAATGTCACACAGAAAGCAATTTAACTATGACTTCTGAAGCAGTCTGGTGTAATAGAAAGGGCACTTAAACAAAAAAAAGAAAAAACCTGAATACTAATCCTTGATCTACTACTATCTCTGTGGATGCATAGAATGATGGCTCAATATTCAATTAACCTTGCCGAAACCAGTTTGGCTCAGTGGTAGAGCACCAGTCTGTGGACTGAATGGTCCCGGGATCGATTCTGGTCAGGGGCATGTGCGTTGGTTGTGGGCACATCCCCGGTGGGGGGTGTGCAGGAGGCGGCTGGTCGATGTTACTCTCTCATCGACGTTTCTAGCTCTGTCTCTCTCCCTACCTCTCTGTAAAAAATCAATAAGATATATATATATAAAAAAAAAAAAAAAGAAAGAAAAGAAAGAAAGAAAGAAAGAAAAAAAGAAAAAAAGAAACCTAACCTCCTTTTGGCCTCAATTTCCACCTACCCAAAATGGTGCTGCAAGGGAAGCAGCCCTAAGGTTCTAACAGCTAAAAAAACAAACATAAACAAAAAAAGTTTCTATACCAAAATATTTGGGATGCCATCAAAGTAAACCATAGTGGAAGCAACACATTTTTTGAAGTTTTAAGCAGAAAAAGTAAAAGTAAACTAGTTACTGGGGGGGGGAATACATTTTTATTCCTATCTCACACCATCCACAAGGAAGGTCTTCCTAACATATCACAAAAAAACCCAGAAACCTTAAATGGATGAATTTCAAATTAAAATAATTAAAACTTCAGTAACAGAGCAAGAAGACAAGTAATCAAAAAAAAGTACTTGCAATATGGATTACAAAAGATAAACTGGATTAATAATGGGCTTCCATAATCTGTTAAGAAAAAGGTAAGAAACCGTTCCTTTAGAGAGAAATGGGCTGAGACAGATTCAGAAGGAAAACTACCGCCGAGACCAGTTTGGCTCAATGGATAGAGCATTGGCTTGGGGACTGAAAGGTCCTGGGTTCGATTCCAGTCAAGGGCATGTACCTTGGTTGCGGGCATATCCCCAGTAGGGGGTGTGCAAGAGGCAGCTGGTCGATGACTCTCTCATCGATGTTTCTAGCTCTCTATCTCTCTCCTTTCCTCTCTGTACAAAATCAATAAAATATATTAAAAAATAAAAATAAAAAAAAAGAAAACTACGATGACCAATGAACATCTGGAAAACTACTTAATTAAAATATTTCCTTAAACTGAGTGTCAAAAGTGAAAACAATTACCTTAAGTGTGGTATAGAGAAATTAGTGCTTTAATACAGCACTGGTGAAAGGGCAAAGTGTTTTTGGGAGGGCAACATGGCAGTACTGTATATGTTAACACTGAAATGTTCCTCAATCTATCCCTTCCACTAAGTATCTCTCTTAGATAGATATGTAAGGATGTGTTTTCCAAGATTGTTTTTAACAGTGAAAAATCTGGAAACAATCCTAAGGCTGAAGCATGGTGATTCCTCTTTGGACAACTGCTGTTTAAAACTGCTGTTTGAACTACTCTACTATTTTTAGATAGTATCTTATTCTATAAAATACAACTTTGTTTTTAGCTTGAATAATAGAAAAGATAAACTTAACTGTCTGACCTTGCAAGCTAGCCATCTAAAGGGGTTGATACACTGATAACTGATATTAATTCACATATTCTGCCAAGTGTTTGTTCATCCAAGATTACAGGTGTCTATATAGATATAATGTGTACTCAAAGTTACAAGTTGTCTGTATAGATATGACAAGTCTTAGATACGATATGTATTCAAGGTTACAAGCTGTCTTACACAAAGAATAAAAGAATATAAAAAGGAAATACTCCCTCCTGTTTGTTCAGAATTTGACAGAGGTAATCTGCTCTAAACCTGTGCGCAATAAAGATGATTCCTAACTAATTGGCTGATTAAGGTGTCTTGTCCAGCTCGCTGATCTGAGATACAACAAGGCTAATTAGAAGAATTAATAAGCAAACTATGACACATCTGTGCCATGGAGTATTGCGTTGTAGTTAAGAACACAATACTCCATGTAAATGTAGTATTGCCCATTTTGTAAATGTACGGAAAGGACACAAATCAAATTGATAGTGGTGATTAATTACTTCTACAAAGAAGAAAAGAATAAACTGTGGGCTTTCATTTTACCCCAGTAATTTGAATTTTAAATAAAATTAATAAGTAAAATTGATTTTAAAAACACACAAAAAGACGTTAAATGAATTATAAAAACACAAATTCAAATATGGAAAGTTTTTCAACATGGTAAACACCTACATTTATTAGGGAAGTGCTAAATTACAAGGAATTGCCTTTTACATCTAGAAAGCTGTGAATGACAGAAAACTAAATTTGGAAGGCATAGAATGATGGCTCAATATTCAATTATCATCATCATCTAAATTGTGATTCATATGACACCCAAGATAGTGAAAAGAATCCACAAAATGGGAGAAAATACTTGCAAATCATAGATGTGATAAGTGACTTGTATCAAAGATAGAGAATTCTTACAACTCAAAAACTAAAAGAGAACCCAATTTTTAAAAATGGTCAAAAGTTGTCAACTATAATAAAACTAATTTTTTTAAAAATGGTCAGAAGATTTGAATAGACATTTCTCCAAACAAAAATATACAAATGGCTAATAAGCACAGGAAAGGATGCTGAACCTTCTTAGTCATTAGGGAAATGCAAATTAAAATCACATTTCACACCCACTTAGGGTGGTTATAAAAAAAAAAAAGACCAGTACTAGCGAGAGTGGGGAAAATGAGACTCATACGTCACTGTTGGAAACGCAAAATGGTGCAGTGCTTTGAAAAAGTTTGGCAGTTACCCAAAAGATTAAACATAATTGCCATGTAGCTCATTCCTGGCTCAGGTATAATACCCAGGAGAAATGAACACACGGATACAAAAATGTGTACAGCACGTAAAAGTTCATAGCATTATTCGTAAAACCCAAAAGGTGGAAACCCAAATATCCATCAACAAAACAAAGTTCAGAAGAAATACAGAGCCTCACATTTACATCCAAGAGCAACTAAGCAACGTGCACACACAAACAAACCACTAAACAAACATTAACTCATATGAAAGAGACCTGGGGGGGAGGGATGGAAGAGAGTGTTCTAGCAATACAGAAATCTGCCATTAAAATCTAAATCATACAGACTTCCTGACCTGACAATCATACTTTGACGACTAGACCCTTAACAAAATAATCAAGAGGGGAAAGCGATCCGGACTAAGGTATTCTCTGTCGTCCTATTTTATAAATAGCGAAATGAATCCAAATTTCTGACGGTAAGGAGCTAGTTAGATTAACGCTGGTTATGAAACACCATGCAGTTTTGAATTTTAATAAAAATGTCAAGCTGAAACCGGTTTGGCTCAGTGGATAGAGCGTCGGTCTGCGGACTGAAAGGTCCCAGGTTCGATTCCGGTCAAGGGCATGTACGTTGGTTGCTGGCACATCCCGAGTAGGAGGTGTGCAGGAGGCAGCTGGTCGATGTTTCTCTCTCATCGATGTTTCTAGCTCTCTTATCCCTCTTCCTCTCTGTGAAAAATTAATAAAATATATTTTTAAAAGAATAATAAAATAAAAACGTCAAGTATGTGGGTAATGTCTGAAACCAAAAATGGGTAGTATTTATTCCTTCAGACAACACACATGTAAGCAATGTACTTCGTCAGAGGGAGCCACCTGAGAGTAATCAACAAGATGCTATAGCGCAGCGCTTCTCTCCCCGCAGCACTCACTCGCCGTTTTCCTGGGGCAGCGTTTTTCCCCGGGGTAACCCAATACCGACGGTAATGTAAACGGTGGAGTAAAAGGCTAGGTCAGCAAGGATCCTCAGGAGAAGGCTCCAGACTGGAGAGAAACTGGGAGCCCGTGGGGGGATGCGGAGGGGGGGCCCGGGCTCCGCCCGCGGGTCGCCCCCTCGCCCTCAGGGCCGCTCGGGCGGAAAAGTTTGGAGGCGCTACGGCCCCGGGGCCTTTCTACTCCCCAAGTCTCCCCGCTCCGCTTCCTCTGCGTCGATTTTTCATCTCCGCCTGCCTCCTAGCCACCCCCGTGACCCCAAACCGGAGCAAACCAAGCGCCCACCACCCGGGCCCCAGGGCCGGCCCCCGCGTCAGGCGCCCCCTCACGCCTCCGCCGCCCTCCGCCCTCCGCCCGGACCCTCGGCCCGGCCGCACTCACAAGAGGAAGCTCATCTTCTGTCCTCAGAGGGGAGGGGAGGGGCCGCGGGCCCCTGTCGCAGTCGGGGCTCGGAGCTCGCTCGGGAGCTGGGAGGCACCAGAGAGGCCTCGGTCCGCCGACAGCGGAAGGACTGGCAGCCGCTGCTCCGAGCCGGGGTCAGGCCAGTGTGAGCGGGTACGAGCCGCGGTGCCCACCTCACCCGCCGCCCCCACCTAGCGGAGAGGAAATGCGGAACCAGCATAATCTCGCGAGAAAAGCCTGCTCCCCGCCCCGCCCCGAGCTGAGCGGCGCGCGGCCCCGCCCTCTTTGCAGATCACCCAATCACCAGCCCCCAGGCCAGGACTTCCTTTCCTGGGAGGCGTGGTCACATTGCGGTCTTGGTTCCCCGGAGAGAGGCTGGCCTTGTGTGTTTGGCCCAGCTTGTTGCTGTTGGTTTAAATTCCCTAGATAGCGTGGGGGCCTCTAAAAATTTTCATTTTATTGAGGCATAATGCATAGAGCATAAAAGTCACTCTTTTAAAATATATATTCAGGGAGCTGTGCAACCATCCACACTATTCTAGAATATTTTTGTCACCGCATGAAGAAACCCGTTCAGTCTCAAGCCCTGGCTGCAACTAGTCCACCTTCTTTTTATATACATTTGCCTAATCCGGACGTGTGATATTCATGGAATCATGTGCTCTTTTTATAACTGGCTTCTTCCACTTAGCACAATGGTTTCCAAGATGCATCTTTATGTTGTAGTACGTGCCAGTATTTCATTCCTCTTTACAGATGAGTAATATTCCATTGCATGAATATACCTTACTTTGTTTATCCATTCATCTGTTGGTGGATATTTCCATTTCCACATTTTCACTATTAAGAATAATGTGTGGGCCGAAGCTGGTTTGGCTCAGTGGTAGAACATCGGTCTGTGGACTTAAAGGTCCCGGGTTCGATTCCGGTCGGGGTCATGTACATTGGTTGCGGGCACATCCCCGGTGGGGGGTGTGCAGGAGGCAGCTGGTCGGTGTTTCTCTCTCATCGACGATTCTAGCTCTCTATCTCTCTCCCTTCCTCTCTGTAAAAAATCAATAAAATATATTTTTTTAAGAAGAAGAATAGCCGAAACCGGTTTGGCTCAATGGATAGAGCGTCGGCTTGGGGACTGAAAGGTCCCGGGTTTGATTCCGGTCAAGGGCATGTACCTTGGTTGCGGGCATATCCCCAGTAGGGGGTGTGCAAGAGGCAGCCAATCCATGACTCTTTCTCATCGATGTTTCTAACTCCCTATCTCTCTCCCTTCCTCTCTGTACAAAATCAATAAAATAGGTTTAAAAAAAAAAAAAGAAGAATGTGTGGTATATATACAAAGATAATTTCATTTTAAAAAAATTAAAAAAAAGAATAATGTGACTAGTAACATGTTTACACTGGCCCCCAAAATATGCCTTTTGAGATATTGATCATTTTAAGCTGGTTATTTTCGAGGAACAGAAGACTCAGAAAGAACCTTTAACCTTACCCCAACACCCCTAAAAGAATTTTGAGAGAACCTGCTCCAGAAAGGAACCTATTGTCATATATAACTATAGTTTAATATGAATTAAGCCTGACAGACAGGAAAGAACCTATCAGGGTTCACTAATCAACTTTCTTTCTATGTCCCATTGTTAAAGATGTCTCAGAAAAGAATTATTTACCAAATATTTGCTTTTTTCATCAACATGTGAATTGCCTTCCTGTCCTTTGTAGTTTATGTTCTCTTCTATTTTTCTAAATTTCCAACTTTATTCTAGTAAGCAAATACTTATATTTTTTTAACTTTCCTTTTTTATTTTATTTTTTTTAATATATTTTATTGATTTTATAGATCAATAAATACATGCCCTTGACTGGAATCAAACCTGGGACCTTTCAGTCCGCAGACCGATGCTCTACCACTGAGCCAAACCGGTTTCGGCTTAACTTTCCTTTAAGAAAAAAAAAAAAAAATAGAAGCAAGATTTGCTGAAACCGGTTTGGCTCAGTGGATAGAGCATCGGTGGACACTTTCCCAAACACTTTTAAAAGACAGCCATGTGGAAAAACCACTGAGATATTATATCACTAGGATACTGGAGTGAGAGCCACAAGAAAAGTCCTGTGTTGGTTCTGTACCCTTGGCCTATAAGAAAAAAATGTAGCCCTGGCTTGTTTGGCTCTGGATAGAGCATCAGCCTGTGGACTAAAGGGTCCCGTGTTCAATTCCGGTCAAGGGCACAGCCCAGGTTGTAGGCTTGATCCCCAGTAGGGGTCGTGTAGGAGGTAGCCAATCAGTGATTCTCTGTCATCTTTAATATTTCTTTCTCTCTCTTCCTCTCTGAAGTCAATAAAGACATATTTTAAAAAATAAAAATACATAGCCGAAACTGGTTTGACTCAGTGGAGAGAGCGTTGGCCTTCGGACTGAAAGGTCCTGGGTTCAATTCTGGTCAAGGGCATGTACATTGGTTGTGGGCACATCCCCAATAGGGGGTGTGCAAGAGGCAGCTGATAGATAATTCTCTCTCATCAATATTTCTTTTTTTTTTTAAATATATTTTATTGATTTTGTACAGAGAGGAAGGGAGAGAGATAGAGAGCTAGAAACATCGATGAGAGAGAGTCATCAATCAGCTGCCTACTGGGGATGTGCCCGCAACCAAGGTACATGCCCTTGACCAGAATCGAACCTGGGACCTTTCAGTCCCCAAGCCGACGCTCTATCCATTGAGCCAAACCGGTCTCAGCTCTCATCGATATTTCTAACTCTCTATTCTACTCCCTTCCTCTCTGTAAAAAATCAATAAAATATATTTTAAAAATAAAAATAAAAAAATAAAAATACATATATAAAAAAATGTAGCCATTAAATGCTAGAGCATTGGTTTACACTGAAAACTAAATTTATGCATCTTGGATGCATATGTGTTTTCTATGAGAATTTTTAAAAATATGTTTTTATTGATTTCAGAGAGAGGTAGGGAGAGGGGGATAGAGATAGAAACATCAATAATGAGAGAGAATCATCAATGGCATCCCCTACTGGGGATCGAGCCCACAAACCTGGGCATTTGCCTTGACCAGGAATCAAACCGGGACCTCCTGGTGCATGGGTCGATGCTAAACCACTGAGCAGCACTGGCCAGGCTCTATGAGAATGTTTTATATTGTTTGTCGTACACACTTTCTGACTCTGTGGTCTAATAGAAGTATAATATGTAATTTAAATATATATATAAATATATTTATATTTAAATTACATTTTATACTATTTAAATATACTAAATTACATAATATACTATTTAAATTACATATTATACTATTTAAATATACTAAATTACATATTATACTATTTAAATATACTATTTAAATATACTATTTAAATTACATATTTAAATTACATATTATAAATATATATATATATATATTTAGCAAAAATAAACACAAGCAAAATCCCAGTTGAAATTAATCCTAATAATATATTTTATTTAACTCAAACATATCCAAAATAATGTGATTTTTAAAAATATATATTTTATTGATTTTTTCAGAGAGAAAGGGAGAGGGATAGAGAGCCAGAAACACTGATGAGAGAGAAACATCGACCAGCCACCTCCTGCACACCCACCACTGGGGATATGCCTGCAACCAATGTACATGCCCTTGACCGGAATCGAACCTAGGACCTTTCATCCACAGACCGAAACTCTATCCACTGAGCCAAACCAGTTTCGGTGAAAATAATGTGATTTTTAACAAGGAATCAGTTTTTAAAATTTTGATGAGATATTTAATTTTTTTTCATTCTAAGTCATGAAAGTATGATGTGAGGGTATTTCATTTTATTTTAAAATATATTTTATTGATTTTTAAAGAGAGGGAGGGAAAGGGATAGTTAGAAACATTGAGAAAATCAATCAGCTGCCTCCTGCACATCCCCTACTGGGGATGTGCCTGCAACCAAGGTACATGCCCTTGACCAGAATCAAACCTGGGACCCATCAGTCCACAGGCCAACACTCAATCCACTAAGCCAAACTGCTGGGCTATGTGAGGATATTTTAAATCTACAGCTTAATTTGGACTAGTCACATTTCAAATGCTCAATAGCCACATGTGGCTAGTGGCTGCTATATTGGACAGTGCAGGTCTAGATCATATGTATGTTCTTTTAAACATAATTTCGGTACCATGGGTCCATTTAAACTTGCTTTTTCCCCCCAAGATTTTATTTTTTTTAATTTATTTTTTAAAATATATTTTTATTGATTTCAGAGAGGAAGGGAGACGGATAGAAACATCCATGATGACAGAGAATCATTTATTGGCTGCCTCTTGCACATCCCCTACTCGGGACTGAGCCTCAAAACCCAGGCATGTGTCCTTGTCAAGAATGGAACCAGAGACTCTTCAGTCCACAGGCCAATGCTCTATCCACTGAGCCAAACTGGCTAGGTCTGTACTTGCTCTTGTTGGTACCAAAGTGCCAAGTTGTTACTATCTAAGGCACATGTGTCAAACACAAGGCCCGCGGGCCAAATCCGTCCCGCCAGGCCTTGCAATGTGGCCCGCACTGCGCTGTCATCACTGCACTCCGCTGCGTTTCCATCACAATGACAGTTTATGACTGTTCAGTAAACCATTCGGCCCGCGATTTAGGCTGGATTTTAGATTTTGGCCCCTTCTCTGATTGAGTTCGACACCCCTAATAAGGAAACATTAACAGAAGCACACAATAAGGAAACTACATGGTAGCACCAAGGGACAGTCGTATGACATCTTGGTGGAATGAAGAAATAAGGACAAGAAAAACTGTGGGAGAGTGAAGTCACAGCTCAGCCAACGGTGATACAGGATGCCCATCCCAAAAGAACTTGCCCAGTACCTGTCACTACCATGTTCATGTCGTAAGTGATTTTATCTCATTCAAAAAATCGCCTGTCACTTTAAATAATGATATTATTTTTATCTGAACTTTTGCCGTTTTCTTGGTGTTTAATTTATAACTGTGCGATTTGGTGGTGGTATAAAAGCTATAAGCCAGGGTATAGATTTGTACTTTTATAATGATTTGTTATTAATACAACTCAATAAATAATGTTATTTATCATAAAAGTATTTCCAGACATCGCGGCAGCCTGGGGAGAAGGGAGTTTGTACAAGTTCTTAACCCCCATTTACGGCACTGTTCTTCAAACTGGATACTCACCAAGGATATGAAAAGTTGATTACA